GGTGAGACCAGGTCCACAATGGTCAGGTATTAGGTAATGACCTTACTAATCTTTAAATAGCACACAACGGTTGGTGGTCAGGTCAGATGGTCAAGTGACCCGGCCTTCTCACCTGATCACAAATCTTCTTAATTACAAAATTGTCCAGCTTGTACATGCCGTTACTCAAATTCATATTTAGATGCTTGTATTTAATAAGATAGATTCTATGATGTTCTACTATCAATTGAATTGAGTAAATATTGAGGAGGCATTATCCCAGTCAATGCAATGCTTGTTATCCCTCAAATGAACAAACAGAGCATTGGATTCCTGGCCTGTCCTAACACTGTATTTGTGTTTTTTAATTCTAGTTGCAAGATCTTTACCTGTCTGGCCTAAGTAAAACATATTACATTCCTTGCAAGGAACTTTATAAATGCAACCAATTGTGTTGTTGGGAGAGTTCTTGATTAACATTTGTTTAACAGTGCATGAGTTTTTAAATGCCACATTGACGTTCCAGGTTTTTAGTTGCGAAGGAATGTGTGAGAAATTTTTGTGAAATGGTAATATTAAGATATTCTTATGGTCATGGGTGGGCTTTGGATCAGTTCTATAAAAAGTTTTCTTAGTAATGTTTAGGCATTTGTCTTTGAAAGATCTAAGGTATTTACGGTTTGAGCCAATATTATAGATATATTTGTATTCCTCATCGATGAATTCCGGACTGCAAATTCTCAAAGCAAGTAAAAACATTGTTGAAAATACTGACTGTTTGACTCTATTATGGTGGGCAGAATAATAATGAATGTATGAACACACATTAGTTGGTTTTCTATAAATACTGAACTTAAAAGTGTTACCTATTCTGTGTATCAGACAGTCTAGGAATGGCAATTTACAGTCTTGCTCTAATTCCACAGTAAATTTGATCGAAGGCTAAATTATTGATTGTAGAAAGCTGAGATTGATAGACATTATGCTAAAATTTGGTATAGAACATAAGAACATAGAATGGAGGAAACTGCAGCGGGCCTATTGGCCCATACTGGGCAGTCCCTTTTACACCCAACCCCTATTGCTCATATAAGCATCCAACCTATGTTTGAAGCTATTCAGCGTATTCGAGTTTATGATGATATTTGGTAACTTGTTCCATTCATCCACTACTCTGTTTCCAAACCAGTGTTTACCTATTTCACGCATAAATCTAAATTTGTCTAATTTAAAACCATTATTACGAATTCGCTCCTGGTTGGATAGTTTGAGTACCTTTGTAATGTCCCCTTTGTTTAACCCTGACTTCCACTTATACACCTCTATCTGGTCGCCCCTCGCTCTACGTCTCTCGAGGGAGTGCAAATTAAGATGCTTTAACCTGTCTCTATACTCAAGGTTCCTAATGCCCAGGATTAGTCTTGTCATTCTCCTCTGAATTCTTTCCAATGATTCTATATCCATTCTGTAATAGGTGACCAGAACTGAATTTCCGTAATCCGTTGTGGTCTCACAAGAGCATAGACAGTTTTAGGATGACCTCGCTAGTCTTGTAACTAACACTCCTTTTGTATGAACCCAAGTACTTTATTAGCCTTATTCTGACAAAAACATTGTTTACTTGGCTTAAGATTCCTACTTATCATTACTCTAAATCTCTCTACTTGGTCGGATTTCTCTATGGCATCGTTGTTCATCTGGTATCTGGTTTCCCTGTTTACATCTCTATACTGAGTACTTTACGTTTGTCGACGTTGAATTTCATCTGCCATTTCCAGACCATTCAGAAAAATTTGTTTTAGATCTTCCTGTGGTTTGCGAGTCCTCGTCAGATTTATTCTTCACGTCTATTTTAGTGTCATCAGCAAATTTACTTATGTTGCTGTCTATGCCGATATCTATGTCGTTTATGTATATAATAAATAATAATGGTCCAAGTACTGAGCCTTGGGAACTCCACTTGTGACGTTGCTCCAATGGGACTTAGTGCGGTTAATGCTCACTCGCTGTTTCCTGTCCTGTAACCACGCCCTAATCCATTTAAGGATGTCACCTTTGATGCCATGAGCTTCTACCTTTCAAATTAGTCTTTCGTGGGGGACTCTGTCGAAGGCTTTGCTAAAGTCGAGATATACCACATCATAATTGTGCCCCTCGTCCACCGATTCAAAAACTGATGAAAAGAATGTTAATAGATTAGTTAGACATGATCAGCTTGTGAAGCCATGGGGAATCATTGATCAATCAGTGCTTCTCCAAATTCGAATAGAGTTTGAAATGATTGCTTCCAGTAATTTGCCTACTATTGATGTTAGACTGATTGGGCGGTAGTTAGAGGATAGTGATCTATCCCTTCTTGAAAATCGGTATTACATTAAGCTATCCTCCAGGATTCTGGTACTAAGCCTGTTTTTAAGGACATGTTAAACAACTTTGCTAAGGGCATACTAAGCTCTTCATACATTCCTTTATACTCTGGCAATATCTCATCGGGACCAGGTGACTTATTAGGCTTTAGTTTGTCTATTTGCTTACTAACATCGTTACTAGTCACTACTATCTCACTTAATTTGTTTTCTTCACTATCTCTGAATAGAGTCGGTGCCTCAGGTATCATGTTTAAATTTTCGGTGGTGAAAACTGTTGAAAAATATTTATTCAAATTATTGCTCATTTCTCCGTCGTTATCAGTGAGCTCGCCGGAGTCTGACCGTATTGGTCCAATCCTTTCTCGTGTTTTAGTTTGATACATTTGGTAGAATCCTTTGGGGTTTGTCTTCGCCTCCCTTGCTATCCTTACCTCATTATTCCTCTTTGCTTTCCTTATCTCGGTTTAACCCTACTCTACTGTAATACCCCCTACTCCGTAGTCCGGGTGAATTTCGCCGATTTATCCTTCTACCTATAGCCTTCCTTTGGCCAATGATGTTCTTTAAATAATTATTTATCCATTTAGGGTCATTGTTGTCTGATCTCAGTTTTTTGTATGGTATGTTCTGCCTTTGTGCATTAAGTAACTCATTATTTAAATTGTCGTGGAACTCGGCAATCTCAGATCTCGTTATCAGGTCGGAGTCATCTGTCAGGTTCACGGCCAAGTGCGACACCCCCTCTCTCAGCTGCCTCTTTAAACTGTCAAAGTTTGCCCTTCTGAAATCTGGTACTTTAGAGGAATTTTCCTTACGTCTGCCCTGAAAATCTAACTGTAATCTAATTTCTTTGTGATTGCTGTTTACAAGTTCGTTCCCTACCTCGACATTGCTAATGAGGTTTTCTCTGTTAGACAGAACTAAATCCAGTATATTATTACCCCGTGTGAGTTCGGTTATATGTTGACTTAGGAAACAGTCCTGTATCGTCTCGAGAAAATCCTCTGATTCTGAGCTACCCGTAAGGTCAGTCCAATCTATTTGGCCAAGGTTAAAGTCGCCTACTATACAGACTTTGTTGTGAATGGAAGCCCTGCGCATTTCATCCCAGATGAGTCGCTCATTGACTCTATCAAGATTGGGAGGTCTATATATTACTCCTGTGATTAATTTTTCCCTACCGTCGAATTCTATCCAAATTGTTTCTGTATTCCGCTCAGTTTTTATTTCCTTATTTATTTCACACTTCAGATTATCCCTAATATAGATTGCTACTCCGCCTCCTTTCCTGGTCTGCCTATCGGTATGGAACAATTTGTAACCCGCAATTTGGTATTCGACCGGCAACTCACGTGAGTCTAGGTCGATCCATGTTTCAGTGAATGCTATTATATCTATTTTTTCGGTACATGCCAAGGCCCTAATATCATCCATTTTGTTTCTCATACTTCTACTGTTCGCATAGTAGACATTTAAGTTAGTCGTGTTCCGAGTCCTCCCTTTACCGCGTTTAGTTTTAAACTCCCTGTTTAATTTAGTTTTGTCATCATTCCTAACACTATTTCCCTGTAATCTTTCTCTTTGTTTACCCGCTCCCACTGCAGTTTCCCCCACCCCCGTGCCCATATGTTCCCCTAGCAGTTTAAAGACTTCGATATCCTTTGAACTGCCCCCTCTAGAGACCCAGCCAGGCTTCTGCCTTTCCTTCTCTTATTATTTCTTTTGTTATATCTCTCTCTCTCTCTCTCTCTCTCTCTCTCTCTCTCTCTCAAGTGTTAAGGGTCTACCTACCATTAACCTCTCATTTGTGGGTCAAAGTCAAGGTTTTGGACACTGGACACCTGGGTAGAGTGAGCCCATCGTTAACCTTATCTGAGTGGTCAGTTTGATTTCCCATCGCTGTAGTTTGCAGGTTGAGTGAGCCCCAGTCGTAATGGGCCCTAGTCGCATTAGGCCCTAGACGTATTGGGACCCAAGTCGTAATGGGCCCCAGTTGTAATGGGCCCAACACAGCCTAACCTAGTGTAACATAGCCATCATGACAGAGGCAAATAAGGATAGGAAGGGAAGGGAAAGGAAGAATGAGGCGAGAGAGAAAATGGAAGTGAAGGACGGAAGAAGAGGAGAGGAAGGAAAGTGGAAGGTTCACTGGTTTGATTTCGACCAACCTAGAAAGGTGAGTGTCAGCTGTGATGTGCTGCATCAGGTGAGTGTCAGCTGTGATGTGCTGCATCAGGTGAGTGTCAGCTGTGATGTACTGCATCAGGTGAGTGTCAGCTGTGATGTGCTGCATCAGGTGAGTGTCAGCTGTGATGTACTGCATCAGGTGAGTGTCAGCTGTGATGTACTGCATCAGGTGAGTGTCAGCTGTGATGTGCTGCATCAGGTGAGTGTCAACTGTGATGTGCTGCATCAGGTGGTGTCGGCTGTGATGTGCTGCACCAGGTGAGTATCGCTGTGATGTGCTGCATCAGGTGGTGTCAGCTGTGATGGCTGCATCAGGTGAGTGTCAGCTGTGATGTGCTGCATCAGGTGAGTGTCAGCTGTGATGTGCTGCATCAGGTGAGTGTCAGCTGTGATGTGCTGCATCAGGTGAGTGTCAGCTGGCGATGTGCTGCATCAGGTGCTGTGATGTGCTGCATCAAGTGAGTGTCAGCTGTGATGTGCTGCATCAGGTGAGTGTCGGCTGATGTACTGCATCAGGTGGTCCGGTGTGTTGTGCTGCATCAGGTGAGTGTCAGCTGCGATGTACTGCATCAGGTGAGTGTCAGCTGTGATGTGCTGCATCAGGTGAGTGTCAGCTGTGATGTGCTGCATCAAGTGAGTGTCAGCTGTGATGAGCTGCATCAGGTGAGTGTCAGCTGTGATGTACTGCATCAGGTGAGCGTCAGTTGTGTTGTGCTGCATCAGGTGAGTGTCAGCTGCGATGTGCTGCATCAGGTGAGTGTCAGCTGTGATGTACTGCATCAGGTGAGTGTCAGCTGTGATGTGCTGCATCAGATAAATCCAACTATGATCTACTGTATTGGGTGTCACTTAGAGACGCTGTATGACACATCCTACCTAACACACTCAAGTTTCCCCAAGACCATTTTTAAATTCTAGGCACACGAACTTAAATCTTACTTACTGATAATAGTAAATAAATGGTAGACGCAGTAAGAAATTAGTAATATATTGCCTTATGTATTTTATTGTAATTTAGCTTTTTCACTGTAGCCGCAATACAGTAGATCAATACGATGTGTGCACTGTAACTCTGGAGGCCGATATACTGTATACATACTTATACTTATCAAGTATCATCAATAAAGGTAAAAAAAATGTCGAGACATAAAATTGATAAACTCGTATGTTTGTTTCGCAAGTTCTAGAGTTGCCGAGAACTATGGGAATTAATAATGTTTGTACCCATTTTTTATTTGGCGGAACAACAATAAGATTTTCCCTGATATCTAGATGACAGAATATCAATATAGCTACGGGCGTGTGAGAGATAACAGTACAGTATTTATATGAATTATATCTGGAGGTGTGGATCAATGGGAGTTGTGTGGGCGCCTGACGCTGGCTGACGTCACCTCGTACGATGACGTTAGAGGCCAGACTCCGCCCACAACACCGCCCACCACCACAAGTTCATGGCCTCACCCCTGCTTGCCTCTGCCGAACACATTTCTGCCATGTTCTTGTTTTCCATCCAAACTTTCAACTACTTTTCAATTTTAAGAAAGCTACCTATACACCTTAGGCCTCTCAGGAATATTTTAATTCTAAAATTATTTAGAAGTTCGACACTAAAGCTTAATTTAAATAGATAAAATAAATAGCTATCTCACCTAGCCTATTGGTTCACGAGGTCCCCAGACAGTCCTTCGCCTCAGGTAGGGTGTATATTGTAATAAGGTCAGTCAGTTTAGTTTAACAAATTTATTGGCAGAGCTTGTAGTACAGTTTGCCTATTCTGAGTAATTCAGTCAGGTCTTGACACTGAGGGTAATGTCACTGTTCACTGCCATGCAGGACAGAGGTTCGTACACAAAGAGATGCATCATATTCATTGACAGTACATATACATATATGTAAACACACACACACACATATACATACATATACATATATACATACACATACACATGTACATGTACATATATATACACACACGCACACATACATACATATACGTCGGTCAGATTCATGTGGGTAATGTCACTTTTCACTGCCATACAGGACAGAGGTTCGTACACAAAGAATGCATCATATTCATTGACACTATATATAGGTCAGATTCATGTGGGTAATGCCACTGTTCACTGCCATGCAGGACAGAGGTTCGTACACAAAGTAGGAAATACATCATATTCATTACATAAGAACATAAGAATGGAGGAAACTGCAGCGGGCCTATTGGCCCATACTGGGCAGTCCCGTTTACACGCAACCCCTATTGCTCATATGAGCATCCAACCTATGTTTGAAGCAATTCAGCGTATTCGAGTTAATGATGATATTTGGTAACTTGTTCCATTCATACACTACTCTGTTTCCAAACCAATGTTTACCTATTTCCGCTAAATCTAAATTTGTCTATTTAAAACCATTGTTGAGTTCGCTCCTGGTTGGATAATTTAGTACCCTTTGTAATGTCCTTTGTTTTAGCCCTGCCTTCACTTATACATCTTATCAGATTCGCCCCTCCTCTACGTCTCTCAAGGTGCAAATTAGATGCTTTAACCTGTCTCTATACTCAAGGTTCCTAATACTTGCGGGATTAGTCTTGTCATTCTCCTCTGAATTCTTTCCAAGGATTCTATATCCATTCTGTAATACGGTGACCAGAACTGAACTGCGTAATCCAGGTGTGGTCTCACAAGAGCAAGATACAGTTTTAGGATGACCTCGCTAGTCTTGTAATTATTATTATTATTATTATTAGATGTAGCCCACCACATGTGCGACATCTGTGAATAACCCCGCCGGTCCCGTATCGGCCTCTTTCGTCACCCTAGAACTCACCAACGTAGGTGACATTCTTATTAACTCATACCATTGTTCATAGCTGGATGATCGTCATACTCGATTCCGAGTGATAGCAGAGTAGTAGTAGTAGTAGTAGTGTGTGTGTGTGTGTGTGTGTGTGTGTGTGTGTGTGTGTGTGTGTTTGTGTGTATGTGTTTATAAATATACTGTACATATGTGAGTATACATACAACTAAATTCCTAGCTTATTATTCACTTCTGCCCCTGTCACTTGTCTCCTATCTATCTATCTATCTATCTATCTATCTATCTATCTATCTATCTATCTATCTATCTCTATCTATCTATCTTCGTAAATCAAAAGGACACATAATTACCTCACCACCGCAGAATCTTCCCTGAAGTCAACACAGTAATAGCCTGTTGCCTGCCATCTACCTGCCGCTGACGTTAAGGTGTATGTGTGTGTGTGTGTGTGTGTGTGTGTGTGTGTGTTCGAGGCCCTCAGGTGAACTCGGAGTGAGAAGGACGTGGAGCCAGGAGGTCGTGCGAGTGAGGAGGTCGTGGTGGCAGGGAGGTCGTGGTGAAAGGGAGGTCGTGGGGACCGGGAGGTCGTACGAGCGAGGAGGTCAACGCAAGGTTTAAACAGGGATCTGCATTGCCTAAGCAGGAACAAGTTGGATGAGTGGCATGGTGACTTCTAGGCGTTGGCAACACCTGGGCTGTTGAGTGCACTTGTACCGAGCTGCTGGGGGGAGGGGGTGAGGAGGAAGGAGAGGGCGAGGGTGGAGGGTGTGGAGAAAGGAAAGGCGAGGACGGAGGGGAAGGCGGGCGAGAAGAAAGGAGAAGGTGGAGGGTGAAGGAGGTTGAAGGATGGGGAGGAAGAGGGAGGGAAAGGGAGGGAGGGGTGGATGGGGAGGGAAGAGGATGCGTGGGGGGAATAGGAAAGGGATGAAGAGCAGGGGGAGGGAGGAGAGGGAGAAGACAAGGAAGAGGAGGAGGAAGGAAGGAGAGGAGAGGAGGGAGAGAGAGTAAAGTTGCCTGCCAGCGGAACAAATAGACATAAGAACATGAGAATGGAGAAACTGCAGCGGGCCTATTGGCCCATACTGGGCAGTCCGTTTTACACCCAACCCCTATTGTCATATAAGCATCCAACCTATGTTTGAAGCTATTCAGCGTACTCGAGTTAATGATGATATTTATTAGCTTTGTTCCATTCATTTCACTACTCTGTTTCCAACCGATGTTTACCTATTTCACCTAAATCTAGAAATTTGTCTAATTTAAAACCATTGTTACGAGTTCGCTCCTGGTTGGATAGTTTGAGTACCTTTGTAATGTCCCCTTTGTTTAGCCCTGCCTTCCACATATACACCTCTATCAGGTCGCCCCTCGCTCTACGTCTCTCGAGGGAGTGCAAATTTAGATGCTTTAACCTGTCTCTATACTCAAGGTTCCTAATGCCCGGGATTAGTCTTGTCATTTTCCTCTGAATTCTTTCCAAGGATTCTATATCCATTCTGTAATACGGTGACCAGAACTGAACTGCATAATCCAGGTGTGGTCTCACAAGCGCAAGATACAGTTTTAGGATGACCTCGCTAGTCTTGTAACTAACACTCCTTTGTATGTAACCCAAGTACTTTATTAGCTTTGTTACGAGCAAAAACACATTGTTTACTTGGCTTAAGGTTCCTGCTTATCATTACTCCTAAATCTCTCCCGCAGTCGGATTTCTCTATGGCATCCTTGTTCATCTGGTATCTGGTTTCCCTGTTTACATCTCCTATACTGAGTACTTTACATTTGTCCACGTTGAATTTCATCTGCCATTTTTCAGACCATTCGAAAAATTTGTTTAGATCTTCCTGTAGTTTTGCAGAGTCCTCGTCACATTTAATAACACGTACTATTTTAGTATCATCAGCAAATTTTCTTATGTTGCTGTCTATGCCGATATCTATGTCGTTTATGTATATAATAAATAATAATGATCCAAGTACTGAACCTTGGGGAACTCAGCTTGTGACGTTGCTCCAATGGAACTTAGTGCCGTTAATGCTCACTCGCTGTTTCCTGTCCTGTAACCACGCCCAAATCCATTTAAGGATATTACCTTTGATGCCATGCGCTTCTACCTTTCTAATTAGTCTTTCGTGGGGGACTCTGTCGAAGGCTTTGCTAAAATCAGGGAATAATTGTGCCCTCGTCCACGATTCGAAACGGTAGAAAAGAATGTTAATAGATTAGTTAGACATGGCGGGCGTCCGCTTGGGAAGCCATCGCTGGGAATCATTGATCAATCAATTTTACTTCTCCAGGTGATTTCGAATAGAGTTTGAAATGATTGCGTCCAGTAATTTGCCTACTATTGATGTTAGACTGATTGGGCGGTAGTTAGAGGATAGTGATCTATCCCCCTTCTTCAAAATCGGTAATACATTCGCTATCCTCCAGGAATCTGGTACTACACATGTTTTTAAGGACATGTTAAACAACTTTGCTAAGGGCATACTAAGCTCTTCCTTACATTCCTTTAATACTCTGGCAAATATCTCATCGGGACTAGGTGACTTATTAGGCTTTAGTTTGTCTATTTGCTTACTAACATCGTTAGTAGTCACTACTATCTCGCTTAATTTGTTTTCTTCACTATCTCTGAATAGAGTCGGTGCCCCGGGTATCATGTTTAAATTTTCGGTGGTGAAAACTGTTGAAAAATATTTATTGAAATTATTGCTCATTTCTCTGTCGTTATCAGTGAGCTCGCCGGTATCTGACCGTATTGGTCCAATCTTTTCTCGTGTTTTAGTTTGATACATTTGGTAGAATCCTTTGGGGTTTGTCTTTGCCTCCCTTGCTATCCTTACCTCATTATTCCTCTTGGCTTTCCTTATCTCGGTTTTAACCCTACTCGCCAATACCCTATAATAATCCCGAAGGTAAATTTCGCCACGATTTATCCTTCTACCTGTATGTATATTATGTATGCTGTATTATATATTATGTATGTA